CTGCGTACCTAACTAGTCTTCTATCACGCTACAATCCATCACGCTTCCTAAGGTCGCACAATTCTGGACTTTTGGTAGTACCTAGGATAGCAAAGTCCACTAAAGGAGGTAGAGCTTTTTCGCATTTGGCTCCCAAACTCTGGAATAGCCTTCCTGATAACGTTCGGGGTTCAGACACACTCTCTCTGTTTAAATCTAGATTAAAGACACATCTCTTTGGCCAAGCATTCAAATAATGCATCTCATAATCTTGTACTGCAGTTATATCTGATCAAATGCACATTACTATTCTTTAGCTTGTGTTAAACAAATCAATTTTGCTTGGTTGGAACAGCAGATACGCTAATTATGTCTCTATTTGTTTCTCTGTTTCTGCCACGGGATTGACATTCATTTCACATCCCATTGACTACCAAATTTTGCTATAAGTTTGATTGCAAAATATAATAATTGCTGTTAATAGTGTTCATAGTCTGTTTGATTACGTCTTTAATTGATTGTTCCGTACATTTCTGCCATATGTACATTTACTGACATAGTCACCACTGATAAGCTACTACTAAATATATTGTAGAAACATATATTGTACAGCTGCTTTGCAACGATTTGTATTGTAAAAGGCGCTATACAAATAAACATGAATTGAATTGAATTGAATATCTGACTTACAGCTGCTTTGCAAAGATTTGTATAGTGAAAAACGCTATACAAATAAACTTGAATTGAATTGAATTGAATTACTCTACTACCACATAGACCAGCTTTCAATGATCTGTCCATCACAGACTGCCTGACCTCACCAATTCCTGTGGATTTTTTAAATTTTATTTTTATTTTTTTTCTGCGACTAAGTGACTAATAAAATTTCGGTCAACCGAGCATCTTCTCGTCGACTAATGGTTAGTCAAATATTAGGGGGAAGCCCTAGTTTTGTTGCATTTTCACTTAAAACTAATTGGAAGTTAAATATTAGGCTAGTGGAAATTGCATATTCTGCACTATAATAATAATAATAATACGAAAAAGAAGAAGGAGTTACATTTTCCCAGTGATCAGCCAATAATATATCAAAATTATGTAATCCTTCATGTTTTTACATTGTTTCACAAAACTCATGTCAGACCCATGAAATACACTTGTGTAACTGAGTAGAACTTCTTTAAATTGCAAATCAGTCAGTTCCTTTTTCTGTCATTCAGTTTCATACTGGCACATTTTAACCTTCTACCTAGTTTCACACAGTACACATCAGTGGCTTATTTTAAAATATTTGAAAGCAATTATCACCTGATGGTCTTCAATTTACAGCATCCGTCCTGTAGTAAATCACTGAGCTCCTTCACTCCTGAATGTCCAGGATCATTTCCTGTGAGATCCAGCTCTATCAGGTGTGAAGGGTTTGATCTCAGAGTTGAAGCCAGAGCTTTATAACCTTCTTCAGTGATACTGTAGTTTGAAAGTCTGTATATATATATATATATATATATATATATATATAAAGTGTTAAGTACGGCATGTTCTATGCTAAATAAACACAACAGATATGAATAAAGTGAGAAGTCATTATTTAAATCTTAAGAAAGAAAATTCAAAACTTAATCATAAAAATACTATGAAAAGCACAAAAAATATCCTACTAAATTTTGTTTCAACGTTGACAGAATTCTCACCCCATAGCTGCTGCAAGGAGTTTACCATTCGAGCATATTCCTTGTGTGGCGCATGTTATACAAAGGATAATCACCGTGGCTTTTCGAGACAGTGGATTTGACAGCGTTTTAGCCAAGTGCCGTAAAATTGTCGGACACTTCAAACACAGTCAACACTGCAGAGCTGAAAGAAGAAATGATAAGGCAGCTTATACACAATAAAGATCCACTGAACGCAGCGGTGGCACAGCAGAAGCATAAGTTAGCCATACTAACTTCAGCTGATTATGACAGACTGGCGAAGCTGGAAACGTTGCTGGAACTCTGAAGGTAATGTGATTTTTTTTTCTCTTAAATTTTACTAATAAAAACAAGTACTTTATAAGTCATCTAGACATAATTTATCATTAATTTTTTGTTAAGTAAAGATGCATAATAAATTCAATTACTTTGTTTGTTGTTGTAAAAAGCATTTATTGTTTCTGATGTTAGTTACCGATTGTTAGTACAATCATCATGTTGTTATTTGTTGTTGTTCGTTCTGCCAGTGTTAGTTCGTTAGTGCCAGGTTTGCTGCTCCAGCAATTTTCTTTGTGGTTTTGTGTAGCCCAGTGAAGGTGCTGAGTTTGCGCACCAAAATTAAGTTTGTTTTCGTTATTTTGTTTATTTGTCTTTTTTTCTTGTTTGTACTTTGTATTTATTCAGCACTCTCACTTAGGCTTGTGGGAAGAAAATAAGTAGCTGGGTCACAAGGTATTTGATGTTAGACCCTGCCTACATAGTGCGCTTCAAGGCTGCATTCACAAAGGACCTCAACAGGTGAAAGGACAGCTCAAACCTGTGGTGGTTAAAGGTAGCAACAGCTCTAGATCCCAGGTTCAAGCGACCTTAGGTGCTTGCCCAAAGCAGAGAGGGGAGAGGTGTGGCAAAAGCTGAGTATGATGCTGAATGATGGAGAACCTGCTCCACAGACCTCTGGAGAAGAAGTAGAGCCAGAGCCACCAAAGAATAAGATGACCTTCCTAGTGATGGGATCAGAGTCAGAGTCTGATGATGAGGCACTGTCCACAGATAAATGTCTAGAGAGGTACAAGGCAGAGCCCTGTGTCAGCATAGACACATGTCCACTACAGTGGTGGTCAGCACATTCAGGTGCCCATGGTAAGCTGGCCCATATTGCAAAATGGTATTTGGCTACACCTGCCTCAACAGTGCCATGTGAGAGACTGTTCTCTTTGGCAGGCCACATTGTGCAGAAGAAGAGGTCAGCTCTGTCATCTGAAAATGTTAATAAGCTAGTCTGTCTGAGCAACTGGCTGAAAGAAGAGTAGACTCTATGATTGGTTGGCAGGAGGAATGTTGCGCAGATGCACACTGTAGAGACTGTTCATTTTGTCTCTTTACAGACATTTCATTTCTAAAATAGGATTATAATATAAATGTTAATTTTTGAGATAATAAAACTGGAGGATCTGTTTCCTTAAACTAGTTTGTCATGTATTTCTTTATTTCAACACAGTTACAGGTAAATCCTAGTATTTAAAATTTGCGATTAATCGTGATTAATCACTGCCCATGACTGTCGATTGACGGCACTAATTTTAACATACATTTTTATCCACAAGATGTGGATAAATATGCTGGTATAGGTATGTCTAAATGGCACAGACAGATGAAAGATGGTTTGGTGATCCAATTTTTCTTTAGTCAAACTATTACACTCACCTCAGTGTCTTCAATTGACAGCTTGGATCCTGTAGTAAATCAATGAGGTCCTTCACTCCTGATTGTCCAGGATCATTTCCTGTGAGATCCAGCTCTATCAGGTGTGAAGGGTTTGATCTCAGAGCTGAAGCCAGAGCTTTATAACCTTCTTCAGTGATACTGCAGTCTGAAAGTCTACAGAAAATAAATCAATGAATTAGAATTAATATTTAGTTAAAAATTAACATTGCAATTAATAATGCTGCTCAAAGGTGACACACATGTATTTACATTTACATTTATTCATTTAGCAGATGTTCTTATCCAAAGCGACTTTTGGGGAATACATCAAGTGATTTATCTTAAAGAGGCAAACAGACACAGGAAGTGCTCGTAATACCAAGTTTCAAGCATTGTTCAAATAAGTACAAGCTAGAGCGCTGTTGGCCTACTTCTAATAAAATGAAAGCAAAATACACAAATAATATGTATACTGTGTTTCTGATTCTATAAAGTAGTAATTGATGCCATAAAATCATGAGTATGATTTGATTTAAAGGTCAGAAGCTATACCTTATATGAAAAAAAAAAAATCACAAACATGACACTTAAATAAATAATTGTATATATACTGATTTATTCATTAATGTGTAAATATGTTATATATTTTAAACAAATTATGAGCTCTAAAAGATTTTCTGAATTTTTACAACTCTTTTGCTTTAGACCATTTACAAATGTTAAGTCATAAAATAAAATGTTATATAGTTTATTTATAATTATTTTCAAATCTTCAATGTGCTGTCATTATAAAAGTACTTTATAATTGTTTATTTAATTCTAACAAATAAAGTTCTTGTTAAAAACTAGCCAAAATTAAAAATAATTATACAAACCCGATTCCAAAAAAGTTGGGACACTGTACA